TTACTATTATTATAATAAAAGACACACATAGGATGGCTATTTTATGCTCAAATGCTAGGTCTGAGGGCAGCGATGGAGAGAAAAGGAAATTGTTCAGAGAGTGGTGGATGAGCAAACACTACAGCTTGTCTGACTGCTCATCCTCCCTGGTTGCTATGGTACTGTCACGACATTCTGATGCTGCTATTCTGGAGCCAGATTAACTCCTCCACTTCCTGTATCTTACAGCTCCTTGTCTAATACAGGCATGGAACAGGTGATGGAAAGGAAATGAAAAGGGTTAAATAAAAGGTGAAATGAGCAGATGGCATGAGTTGCTACATGCGATACTGGCAGTATTACATGAGAGCTGAATATATCTGGCTTTTAAGCTAAACCGCAGGTCTGGATTATTTTGCATACTACTTACATATGTCCAGTTTGGCCCATGCAGGTATGCCATACCTGATCGGCTGCTGGAGCAACTACAGTGCTGGCTGCGATCTTCCAGATCCTGTATGATGCTGAGCGGAGTAGCTTTACCTCGGCTTAGGAAACATAGGTTAGCCTGCTAGTCACAGAGGCCTAGTATTTTATTAATAAATACAAGGCGTTCTCTGGATTAGACAAGGGGCAGCACTATGACATCATGATCCACTCCTCTTCCAATCAGAGAAAGTCTTGTAATCATTGATAAAATTACTAGGCATTCTTTGACTGGCCACTGTGCCCAGCAAGCAACCCCCTTGTGTTTTCAGACAGAGGACGCCACCCATAACAGCGCCATACAGGACCTGGAAGATAATGGCCAGCACTGTAGCAGCCCCAGCTACTTGAGTGCTTGATAGGATCCCCAGTAAATGCACATTAAACTTCAACACATACACAATGCACGGATCAGTAATTAATTGCCAACCATAAAAACCCATAGCAACCAATTAGACTTAATTTAATGCAGCAATATTGTTTGGTAGACATGGGTTCATGTGCATAATCATTCCTTATTTCCACACTGTGTTACTATTCATACTCATTTATCATGTACAACACATAAAAACAACAATGTTCTCAAATTCCACTTGCTGCTAGATACTCCCTCATCACACTCAGTGTTTACAAATGAATTCCAGAATTATGCATGTTTGTACCATCAACATACAATAAAAATGTTTAACATGAATCAGCATGTGCATATTGTCATTGGTAGCGATGGTACAATTATTTTCACAAGCCACAGCAGATGTAAGACAAAAGGTGTGAACCGTAGTGCAAACACACGGTACCGCACAGTTGCATTGCGTGCCATTCATTTGAATGGCACCCCAAACGCACCTACCATCCGCAGTGTAATTGCCCGTGCCCCAACGCAAATGCCATGCACAGTACCATGCGATTAACACTCTGAGATAGTGTGAACGGGCCCTAAATCCTTCATAGTATGAATTCAACAGGTGCTACAACTAGAGCTGCAACAGTTAATCGATTAAGTCGTTTAAAATCGACGATTGAAAACGTTGGCAACGTTTTCGATCGTCGATTCGTCGGCTATCGATTGATTTGCCTGTTCGGGGCTCCACACGTGGCCTGAGCCACACGTCACACGCTACTGCCGCCGTGCCCACCGCACAGGCCGCATAAGCCACGCCCACCACACGCTGAAGCCACGCACGCCGCTGCTCTCCTCCTCGGCGCGATCTCCCTCACTCGTCGCTTGCCTGCCGACAATCGAGGGCCCACCTTCTGAAAGCAAGTCAGTGGTGGAATAGGTGTACGGAGCTGCAGTGTGGAACAGGTGTGTGGGGATATAGTGGTGGAACAGGTGTGCGGGGATATAGTGGTGGAATAGGTGTGTGGGGGTGCTGTGGTGGAACAGGTGTGCAGTGTGGAACAGCTGTGTGGGGAGGCAGTGGTGGAATAGGTGTATGGGGGTGCAGTGGTGAAATGGGGCTGCAGTGTGGACCAGGTGTATGGGTGTGAAGCAGTGGAAAAAGGTGTATGGGGGTGCAGTGTGGAACAGGTGTGCAGGGATGCAGTGGTGGAATAGGTGTGCGGTGGTCTGGTGGTGGAAAAGGGGTATGGAGGTGCAGTGTGGAACAGGTGTATGAGTGTGATGTGGTGGAATAGGTGTTTGGGGGTGCTGTGGTGGAACAGGTGTACAAGGGTGCTGTGTGAAACAGGTGTATGGGTGCAGTAGTGGAATAGGTGTGTGGGGGTGCGGTGTGGAACAGTTGTATGGGTGTGAAGCGGTGGAACAGGTGTATGAAGGTGCAGCGAGGAACAGGTGTATTGGCGTGCAATGGTGGAATAGTTGTGTGGAGGTGCCGTTGTGGAATCGGAGTACAGCGGTGCTATGGTGGAACAGGTACGAGTTATGCTACGCACGCCACTACCACGCCGCGTATGCCACTCCCACCACACAAGCCGGACACACGCCCGCAGAGCACGCCGCCGCGACTTACAAGGGTTCAGAAACTGGTAAGGGGGACCTGTTTTAATGTTTCCTGTTTAAAAAAAAAAGCTAGCAATTATATTAGGTAGCTTGTATAATGTATTATTGCTGGGACTTGTTGTTCCTCTATAGCTGGTGGTATTCTCCATTGTGCTGTATAATGTATTATTGCTGGGATTTGTAGTACCTCTAACTGGTCAGTGGTAATCTGCATTGCACAGTATAATCATTATACAGCGCAATGGAGAATACCACCAGCTATAGAGGACTACAAATCCCAGCAATAATACATTATATACAGCGCAATGCAGAATAACGCCAGCTATAGAGAAATACAAATCCCAGCAATAGTACATTATAGTATAATGTACTATTGCTACATTCCTCTATAGCTGCCGGTATTCTGCACTGCGCCGCTGTATAATGTACTATATTGCACACACTTTTTTTTTTACTTAAACTGCACCAAGCTTGCTCCCGTGATGGACTACAATCTCAATACAAAGTAGTAGTCCATCACTGGAGCCTTTTTTTTTTTTCTATTTTATCCGATTAATCGAACTTAATAATCGGCTAACTAATCGATTTTGAAAATAATAGTAAGCTGCAGCCTTAGCTACAACTTCCCTCTTGATTTTGCAGCATTAAACGGTCGCCACCATCAGCCTGAACTGTAGGCCAAAAATGGGATAGATAAATCATATGCATGTCATATTCTGTTCTTAGTGTCTACAAGCCACAGCAGAAATAATAACTCATCAGACCTGGTAACTTTTTTGTCAGTGTTTAATGTCATTTTCCACTTAGCTGAGGAGTGAAATCCAGTACCATGTTCTGCTACTACAATTCATAATCTTCAAGCTTTGACTTGCTATACAAAAATCAGAGATGGCCTACATACCACTGTTGTAATGAGTTATTTCAAGAGCTGTGGGCTCTCTCAGCTTCAACAAGTCTGCCCATTGTCCTCTGCCAACTCTCAACAACAGGTTTTCAACTGGATATTTATTTTTATTTTTGTAAATTTTAGAAATTCCCTGGAGGTCAGCAGTTTTCTAGATGCTGCAACCAATCTGGTCCTAGCAGTCATTCCATGGCCAAAAACGCACAGATCAAACATTTTTCCCATGTCTGTACACTTCAAGTTTGGAGATACAGCCACATGATTTATTAAATTGCTATAAAATGTTTAGACTCAGAACTGTATTGATGACACAAGGACACAGCAAGAGGCTGGACAAGAGGCAGTTTAATCTTAGACTATGCAAGGGGTGTTTTTACTGTGAGTAGTAAAAATGTGGAATTCCCTTCCACAGTCAGTGGTATCCTCTGACAGCATTGATACAGTCAAGAAACTCTTAGATACATTTTTTAACTCACAAAATATTCAAAAATATGGCAAGTATTAGACACAGTCACACACCTTAAACGGGATGCACTTGTGTTTTTATTCAACCTTACCTGCTATGTTACCATCTGCAGTAATGAACAAGTCTACCTAACAAAATAACCACCGAGTGTATGTTTAGTTTTTGCTGCAACCTCCACCTGTGTGTACACATAATGAGTACCTGTTGTGAAAACAAAATGCAAATGTAGTTTTACTAGGCAACGCTGCACCCGAATAGAGACCATCTGGTCTTCAGAGAACCCAACCAAATTTAGGAGTCAAAATAAAATGAAGATTAAGGTGTGTGGAAAAAAGATTTTACAGCAATTTTGCAAAGCAATTATGACAATTAGGATGATCAAATATATTACATGGTAAAATAGAACATTCAACCCAACTGTTAAAAAAAATTAAAAAAAAGAGAGAGTTGTGACAAGCAAGGGATTCTTATAAATGTAAAACATATTAGCGCTTTTAAAAGGTAACCAGTGATGCTAAACATTTTTAAATATGTAACCCTTTGACCTCTACCTTTTCTTATCCTGTACAAACAAGTCATTATTCTTTAATGTATCATTTTATCACTTTTGCACAGACAAAATTGCAGTACAAATCAGATGGAAATATTCTAAATTTAAGTGTACATTTTTAAAAACAGAACTAAAGCCAAACCTTTTTTTTTTTGAGCCAAAGGAGTACATTTACTAATGTACAACTGTGACCTAAAGTCAGCATCTAGTGGGCTACTGGTCACTATTTGCGGACAGCGCAGAGCCTCACTGCAGCCAGGAAATAATGTCGGAATCCACCCTGCTGCCTGATTGCCCATCCCCTCCCCTGTGTGTCCCTCCAGTGGGCAAGGGAGGAACAGAGAGGGGAGGGGGATAGCTGAGGTGAGGAGACCATAGACTGAGCTTGTGATTGCTCAGCTCTCAATCTATGCAGTCCCACGTCAGCTCTTATAGGGAAGAGTACATTTTACTTAATACTTTTCCTTTAAAATGACAGCATAGGCCTGAGGAGCAATGTACAGAATTGCCAAAATATATTTACAAAAATGACCTTCATCTACAATTCAAATCCTGTCAGCTAAAAACATCTAGTTCTGGCCAAAAAAAAAAAAAAATCACTGAATGAATCAGATATCCATTGATGTGATCTGGAAGGAATAAGAGGACTTACCCTTAAACTTGGAGCGAATATTAGCCAGTTCCTTGTTTATCCTTTTAATTTCCGCTTCTTTGCTTTTACCTAAGGGAACATAAGTAGAGAGTGTTTATTTATAAATGTTCGGTTCTTTAGTTATTAACAAAACAAATTCCTCTAAAACAATATATAAATATGTGTACCCACAAATTAATTGAAGAATGAACACACACACACACACACACACACACACACACACATTGCAGGGTAGTAAAATATATGTTGTTGATGGCCTACCAACCCCATTGCCCCCACCATCTGCATGCAAATGGGCATTGTGTGCGTGTTTGCTGAGTGAGCGCTCCCATTCCGCTTTGTGCCATATTCTGGTAGCGGGGCAGCAGCGCTCTCTAACACGCACAATGTGCATTAAAGGGGTAAATTCACTTTCCCATGTAATTACCCGATCAAATCTGGAGGAACAGCAGCATACTCCAGGAGGATCAGGTATTTGCACCCAGAAATGTTAGGTACCTGAGGCATCAAAGTGAAGGTGTTTGAAAACACAGGCTGCTGGAAAGGTAAGCATACATGCTCTTTTTTTATAGTATGGGCTTGGGTTTCAAGTGACCCTGTGATGACAGGGTCACTTTAATATAAACCTCTTAGTACCCCTTGGTACTGGCAGGTTTCAGCAATAGGCAGTGGCATATGCAGTAGAGCCTGCAGATACCTTTGAGTGGCTTTTTTCACAGCCTGCAGGCCTGCTGTAAATACCAAGTTGTAATATTTCCGAACAGTGTTGATTTATAGACCACACATTTTTGCCTTCATATTGGCATTTACTATAATGGCTGTCTTATAGAACATGTGGGGGGGCAAGAGATGACGGGACCAGCAATCAACATCTGCACAGAGTGTAAAAAGCTTGCTGGTAACAGCAGCCCAGGATTCAGGGTTCCCAGGCTGTGGAAGAATGCAGCTAAATGAATGCAAAGGCAACACTCGTTAATTGCACTGTAGTGCTCAAGCCAGCATACTTAATGTTAAATACATATTGACTTAATTGTTAAAATGGTGCCTAAACTATATTGACTCAAGTGTTTAAAATGTATACGGCCTTCAAACATGTTCCAAAAAAAAAAATTGACATTTTTTTCCTGTCCTCTGTATATACAGAAAACGTATCCAACACGAACCAGTGAGATATCTTGCAGCCCAGATCAGAATACCATTGCACAGCTCTTACAGATAACAGCTTTCAACAGTCAGAAGCACAAGGCCAGGCAAGCACACATTGAGATGTATAGAGAAGACAGGGAGTGTCAAATGTCCACAAAAAGCACACTGCAATTGATATCAGTTTGTAGGATGAGCCTTATCTGCACCTACATACTTAGCAAACTGAATGTGAGGGCTCGGCTTCTAATTATACATTCAGGAGTTCAGGAAAATGTAATTCAATGAGCAGTTCTAAAGAACATTAATTGCTTTAACAAAGCCACACAATGCAGAAAAGATGAGCAGGCCACAGACAACCAGTAGCCTCAGGCTAGGTTCACACCTAAGCGACACACACAGCTGGTGAGCTGTTTTTGTGCGGTTGTCACGCGTTTCTGTTTACGTGATTTTGCTTTGAAAACAGAGAGGTTTTCAATGCATAGAGATTTCTATGGAACCCAAACCGCGTGGCAACCGCCCAAAAATCGCTCCTGCACCATTTTGTGCGACAGGTTATATCTACCACGCGACAAATCGCAAAGTTGTGAACAGCTTCCATAGACTTGAATGCAAATCTCTGTTTTGTGCGATATCGTGCGGCTACATCGCCTAGGTGTGATCCTAGCCTGAGAGTTTATTTGTAATCTCTATAAACGGAATTTTCAGATTCTAAGCCCTCACGGGCAGGGTCCTCCTTACCATCTTGTCTTGAATTGTATAGTAATTGTAACATCTTCCTTATATTGTAAAGCACTGCGCAAACTGTTGGTGCTTTATAATAATAATAAATAATAATGATTGCTCAAGGAGTAAAGCCCCTTCCTCTAAGCATTATTGTGAAAAAAGGAGGGACGCACCACTTGCCGAAAATAGCACATCTTATTTCAGACTTGCATTTTACATTTTGTTTTAGACACAAAACAGCTCACATCATGTAACAAAAAAAGAACTTAAAGAAGAATTTTTCTTAACCCGTGCAGTGGAGCTACCCCCTGCACTGCAAAGGTTAACTGGTCATTTTTTTTGTCTGGGTGCAAAAAACAAAAAGTTATACTCCCTCTGCTGCCGTGGTCTTAGGACCTGTAAATCATCACATTCTATACACGGTGTATGGCATGAGGATACTGAGGAACATTCCAATGCTGCGGTGGAGGAGACAGGCTTCAGTGACTGGAAAAGCAGGCAGGCGGCTAGACAGTTCAGGTGAGTTAAACTTTTTTTTAGCACCTAGACAAAAACGAGCACTTGAAGTGCGGTGGTAGCGCCACTGCAAGGGTTAACACCACTTGTGCCCCACGTTCTTCTGTAATGACAGTGATAAGCTAAGGCATAGGATACACATAAGATATAGTGTTCTCACAGTGATAATAGTGTGGACCTGCACTGCACACTATCATGTATATAACTAACTTAGAGACATGTAGAGTCTTACAAATAAAAATAAATAAAAAAAGGACACAAAATTGAGTGCAACCTCTTATTTTTAGAAATATTCCAGAGTAACAGGTTTGAACAATTTTATCCTCGAGAAATGACTGAAGTGTGTATTCTCAGCTTCCTAAGGGTGTATTTACCTGTAGCTTCTCGTACAATTCAGTAAAGTGAAATGCAATCATAAGCTGGTCAATTTCTCATCGTACAAAAGACTTTTCAATAAACAGTTTCCATCTTCTAAAAAAACCATATGGTGCGTATTTTTTCCCATTTCAGCATCATGTTCTTCATAGTGAAGTAATCATTTAAGATCCTTTATAATGTCCAGGATGCTTGGGGTGCGTTTAGAGATGCGTTCTCCTGTTATGCCAGATATGTAACCATTCTGAGCCCTACATCAAGTGTATGTGGTGGCATGGTTTTCAGAACTGACAAGCAGGAGCATAGGGACACTGGGTATTTTCCTGATCAGAACTTGTTCTGTAAAGCACTTGTGTCCAGAATTTAGATACAACAGGAAACAACCAAAGAACTTCTTTATACTGACCTAGTGAAAGAAGAACCCAAAATTTCCCAAACAAGCATACCTATAAACTAAGGCTGGCCATACACCTATAGATCTGCGAGCGGACATTTTTGTTGCTGCCAAGAACCCTCTTTTGATTATAGTTTAAAAAGAGAACCGTGGGGGGTATGTGTTTTTCCCCATAATTCTCTTTAGATCACAAGAGGACATACACTAACCTCCTCTCATGACCGAAAGCTCAGTATATCGCGGACTATTGCCGGTGATATACTTAGAGCGCCGCAGCCGGGACGGATCCCAACAACACTGTCTGGATCCACCCAGCTGCGTGAGTGACAGCTGGCTCTGCCTGTCTAGAGGCAGAGCCAGCTGTACCCGCCCCCTCCCTCCCCCACATTCAGGAGGATTTGGAGAGGGGGGGAATCCCTGCGGGGAGCGGTGACTGACAGTCACCACTCCCTGCAGGCAGATGATCGGAAAGTGAGCGGATCAGTGCATGTTTCTGCTCACTTCCCGATCAATAGAGCCGACCTGCGACAGCTTCTTTGTCACGGGTCAGCTCTAACTATGAGGATGAGTCTGGAAATCACTCACCTCATAGTTTTCCTTTAAATAGCCCATCATGCACAGACCAATGTCGTTTCGATAATCGTCCGTTAGCAATACTAACTCACCGAATTTTGTGGATTGACAGAACGGATTTTCGTTTGCGCATTTGCAGTTTTCTTGCTGCGATTTTTTTTTTTTGTAAGAAAACGCCACTAATCCATTGATTTTCATTCCATTTGAGAAAAAAAAAAAAAAAAAAGACGTTTTCCAGCATCACCCTTCGAGAAAATTTGAGTGGGATTACAGTTAAAAAAATAAAAAAAATAAAAAAAAAAATCAGGTGTCCCATCAACTGATCGATTATCGTTTGAAAGGCCATTTGTGGAAGATTTCAGAACAAAAATCGAAGAGTGTATGGGCACCTTAAGAGAGGTAAGGCCAGCATTTCTATGATGCCAGAACACCTCCAATCCTCCAGAACGCCTCCTTTGAACTCCACAGGGACATGGACCCTTCTGAAAGTGTTTATATCTTTGCATCTCCCTCTCAGCTCTTACTGGTTCCTCCAGCTGGCTTCCATGTCACAGTTATATCCTGTATTGGGGAAGTGAGCAGGAGGGTGACAAAAGGAGATTGGCACCCCGGAAGTGTTGGTTTCCCTCCGGGCTTCACAGTCCTGAGACTGATTTCTATTGAACGGCACAGAGGGGAAAGAAAAGTATTACCCGTTATGTCCTCCTGATGTGGTGGTCAATCGGAGGAACCAGTAAGAGTTGCAGGAGACCATAGACACTCCCTGAAATTGACTTTTTGGGAACCATTACTTTGGTATTGTACAGTGTTCAACGGTACAGTCATCGGTTATAACATCAGCATTGTACAGAAATAGGAATACATGCTATACTTGTTGTTGCTAATGCAATCAAAGCTTACGTAAAAACATCAATTACGTAGCAATCCATTTACAAAAATCAGTTATACCCATACAGCATGATCACAGATGGTTACCATTGTTACTTCACATTCTATGTCATCTATGGCTTTTTAAATTTTGTGTTGGCTTTTCATAGGCCTGACATGAATACACTGGATCTGACCTTCTGAAATCCTGTCTCTATACAGTGAAATCGCAAGAACATTCACCACTGGCACAGCTACAAGGCAGGAAAATGAAATTGTATTTTCTGCTTCACTGCAGCGATAATCCCAATATATTTATGACAAAGACAACGTTTCACATACACTTTCCCATTTTACTTCACATGAAACAAAAACTTGGCATTAGGCACAGTCGGCCGAGGCATGCCACCAAACGCACTGCATCAATGAGAGCGGTGCGGTCTAGTTGCACCGGGTATAAACAGACGGAATCGCT